GCCCGGGGTGCGGGATGAGGGGGCAATTTCCCCCCACCGCGCTGGGGGGTTGCCGGAGCCTTCTCTGCCCTGGGATTTTGCCGAACACCCGCGGAAATCTTTTTGTCGGAGAAACGACTGTTGGTGAGAGAAGCGTGCAAAAAGCGACCGAACGAAAAAAAGCCCCCAAAACCTGCTGTTGGTTTCGTTTGGACGATGGTAGTTTTTGCTGTAAGGTCTCCTCTGCCCAGGCTGTAGATGCCCCTCAAGAGCCGTCTTGCAGCAGCGCCGGGGCAGGTCCCTGTGCGGAGAGCTCCAGCGCTGGGGATGGAGCCGGGGGGGGACCCCAGGCTGAACGTGAGCTGTCACCTAGCGTGGCTGGCTTCGAGATGCACTGATGTGCGGGAAGGAAAGGCAGGAGAATCTGCTTCGTGATGGATGTGCAGCTATCGCTGCAGGAACACTTTCTTTTTGGGCTTTCTTTTCCGGGCTTTACCTTTTTTTTTTTTTTCTTTCTAGCACTTTGTCTTCTCCATTCATTCGAACACTGAAAAGTTCCTCTCCTCATATAAGTTTGCATTTCAGTTGGTTAATGTTTAAAGATGAGTATTATCGATCTTTGTGATCTCTAAAGTATCACAGAAACTGGATCAGATTCAGGTGCTGCTTAGTTGCCTGCTTACCAAGGGGTGCTGCTGGTCACAGGTGCAGGCAGGAATAACACAGAGCATCCGTTAAGCCGTGATGCTGACCTACAGCTGCTGCTGTGGGAATGCTTTGGTGGGATTCCTCTCTGAACCTCTCATGGTTAATGAATAACTTGCCCGATTTCCTGGAATTTGATTCCCCTCCTGCCCCTCCTCCCCCCCAGCACTCATTTCTCTTGCATATTGATGCAAATCTTTGGATTTGCAACGTTTGGTAAGTGCAATCCTTTTCATTTGAGGGTAAACTTTGATACCTTCATAAACCTGTAAGGTATCTTTTATACCTTTCAGTTGTATCATACTTTGAAAGTCGACCTATTCCTCTCAACAGAACTCTTTTCTGGAATGTGTGAAATTACAGGGTGAGCAAACACCTCAGAATCTAATGCTGTATCAGAACCTTTCTCTTCATTATGATTGTGTAATTCATCACTTTCACCATCCAATAAGAGATCTTTTAATATAGCTTATGGCTGTGATACGTAAATCATGACCCATTGTAAGTAGTAATGTCTTGGTTATGCTTGTCTACTGTCTTCATTTCCTAAGAGATTCTGTAATTTTCACTGTTCTTTACAGTGTGATTCTAAAATCAGCTGAGGGGTGGCTAAAGGAAACGCACTTGGTGGAGTCACCATAACGGCAAAAGCCTATGCAAGCACTTCCCCTGTTTCCAAATTCTGGGAAATAAATCTGACATTGTAATAGGTCACTTAGAGCATTCATTGACATCTAAAAGTACTGAACACCACAGTATTCTAAATGCAGGTTGGGGTTTAGTTTCATGAAGGACTGCACTTTATTTGCTTGTAATGGTTGCAAGAATGTAACCTCTAGGTAGACCAAAAGAACAGCTTTTATAATCAAATAATGTTAACGCCAAAGTGAGCTTTTGCTTTTGAAATAGTAGTCAATATTTCTCTTTTTTTTTTTTTTGGAACAGGCAATTACTCATATTTTGAAATCTTTTTGTTACAGAGGTTTAAATACTCTGTTTTCTGTGGTTTTGTAGACAGGATTTTTATGGCGCTTTGAGTTCATTGAAATACCATTTAAAGAATGGACAATTACTGGTGATTTTGGAAGACCTGGGACTGAGATCCAGGTGGCAGCAATGTAAAGCTGTGCTGCAGAAGCTGTTTCTAGGAATGAAAAGGCTGTACAGTTCCCTCCTCCCTTGGAAAGGAGCACCAGTGAGTTGAGGCTGGGTCTGAGATGCCCGCTGTTGTCAGTGCCAGATGTGAGACATAGATATTTGTCCACCAGGAGCTAGAGGAGAGCATTAGCTCCTTCTGAAAAGGTGCTGATGACTTTAGGTCATTGCCAACCTTTGTAGTGTGAGAAGTCTGACCTTGAAGATAATGATTCCATAGTTATTTTGCCAAACGTGAACCATCTGTGCCTCCCAGATGTCTTCTTAGTTTCAACCTGCTGATTATTATAACTCGAGTAATATACTGGCATATTTTGTACCATAAAATGCAGGAGAAAAAGGTGCATACTCCATGTTGTAGTTTTGCTTGGTGATAAATGTCACCTCATAAAAATAGAGGTGGGAAAACTTATGTTGGTGATTGCTGAAATTGAACGTATTGCCAATTTGAATGTACTTTACAGCAACAACAGCCATATCTTCTGTACTTAAGCCTGGCAACCTTTTTCCCCTCCGTTTGCTGTTATCATCAACTTTAGTCATTCTACCAAAGGCAAAAATCTGTGTTTTATTTAAGTTCTCTTCTGTCATGCAAAAGTACACCTTGATACAATACAGGTGCTTATGTGTAGTGGTTTGGATGAATTCAACAGACAATTGGTGAGGACAATGGTAACAATTGACTCAGTTCTAGATGTTGTGTTTTTAGTAATTCCTATTGAAATAAAGCAACTTGAGCTTTTGTGTATTTACAAAGATCTGTGCCTAAAAGGGTATTTTAGCCCTCAGGATTTACTATTATTGAAGAAAGGATTAGTTAGGAGAGACTTATTAGAAGAGCTACAGCTGCCTAAAATTGAGAATCAGAAGTTTAAAAAAAAAAACCAAACCCAAAATCAGACAACTATTTGCAATCAAAACCATGCTTGATATTTTTGATTGCAAGCAGGAAACTGGAAAGGTAAATTGATGTTCTTTGAGTCCTTTCAGCAAAATAGCTCTCAACCCCAAGTGACAAACTTTAAGAGCAGTGTTATATCTGTTCTGCCTTACAGTTTTTCCTCAGTTCCTTAACATTAACCAATTCATTTTTAGCCTTACACCTTTTGACTGCGCTGAACTGATCCTAATGAGCATAGATGGTTTGCTACTTAGCAGGCAAAGAAAATTTGACCATTATGTTGTTGCTACATTGTGCAGTTTCAAATGAACCTTTAATCAATTCTCACTTCATATTTTCAGTTTTTGAGTTTTTTTATTTAAGAAATATTTGTGAGTACAGGACTTTTTTTTGAAGTGAAATTTTTCATGTAAGGTCTCAGAAGTAGAAAAGATCTATTTAATATAACAACTGAGCATGTACTTTTTTAATAGAAAAAATCAATATTAATTTGAGAAATGATTGAATTAGGGCCTTACCTCTGTTTTCTTCATTTTGAACTTATTCTAATGATCTGGAGTGTCTTATAATGCCCAATTAATGCTAAAACATGTTAAATATGGCCAGTTTTTCATCTGCTCCATGTGGACAGTAGCATTTGTCCCTTACTGAATGCCTGATGAAAGCAAATTGGTTTGAGTGACTTGTTTTTTGTTCAATTAAGGTATGTGTAAAAAGATGTGTGAGCAAGTCTGATATTTTTATGCAGAAGTGATGACCTTACAACAGTGTTCTTCAGCTCTCCTAGAAAAAAATTAACTGAGTGGTAGCTAAGAGTGAGCCTGTAATTGCCAGTAGGGTCATCTTAGTTTCTGTTCTGGTTTAGGTATCTCCTACAAGGAAAACATCTTTTGTTCCAGAAGTTTTAGAAGACCAGGTCATGGTCTTGGTAGGAAGATAGAAGAATTTGTCTATGTTGTAGTGTATTTAGCCCAATGACTTGTCAACAGCATATTACTACTGTTTCTAGAGCTGTCTAATTGATTAAAAAGACAGTCTTTCAAGGATTGCTTCATCAAACCTTGAGCTCTTCAGTGAGTGTGATGTGATTAAAATATAAATGTCATTCAGAGTAATTGGATATCTTCCTTACAGCACAGTCTCATTAGCAGCCTCTGTTGGGAATAAATGTTTACCTGCAGGCTGGCATATGTATGTATGACACACGTGTGAGTGTGTGGTGTTGCCTAATGCTGACACTTTGTGTGTGTGTGCCATGGTCACGCTCTGGTTTAAGTCAGTAAAAGCTGATTCTGGGCGTGTTTGGTTTCTACAAGTTTACAATATTAAGAGTTTAATCAAGTTATGAATATGAATAAAATTATGTAGTGTGGAAAGCTCTTTCAAGTAGCTTTCTTTGTCATGGGTAGTGATCTTCTGGATATTCTGCATGTTGTCTTCATAAATAATACTGTGTATTGTCTTCATAACACAGACAGAAAATCAATTAGCTGAGGAAATTCCATGAGGCTGCAGTTCTGGTTTTCTTACAGTTTGTGCTTGCCTCTTCTCTGTTGTATCTGATGGATTTTTGAAGTATTTTGGAGTTCAGAATCATGAGCAGTAGAAGATCTGTAGGCCTCTGTACCTCAGTTTCTCATCAAGAAAGGGATAGTAATACTTCATTTTCTCACCTTTTGTTCATTTAATTGATAAATTCTTTGTTGTGAGGTACGTGGAGAGTAGCCAAACCTATTGAATATGCTTGGAGCTTTTTTAGTGTTAGTTTCATAGCTAGTAATGATAATAGGAAGTAAGAACATCAACAAGTTTGGTTACAAACCTGTTTAAAAATAAGTATTGTATTGTAAACCATAAGTTAAACGATGCTAAAGCATGGAAAGATTTAGTTTCCTGGCACAGGTCGAAGGCTAGGTCACTGAGCAGAGTTAATGAATAGTTGAGAAGACCTGCTATAAAAAAGACCTTAGCCTCTCTGGCACTTGGGATCTGAGAACGTATGTCAGAGGTTGCACATGGAGCTCCTGTGGCAAGCAACAGACTTGTGGCAGTGCTCATCAGAGTCTGTTATACCTTTGAAGTGATGGAAGAGTTAGAATGCCATGGATCTTCTGTAACTCGTGGAATGCAGCTGATAAAGTAACCCGAATTTTAACTTTCCTCAGCTCTGTGTCCTTGAGAGGTTACATTAAAAACAACAGGCTGTAAATACCTATTATACCCAGTGCAATATGAAGCACACCACAAAGCGACTCTGTGCCTGTCTTAATATCTATGAAATATCACCAAGCTAACACAGACACTTGGTACTTGGAGTTCCACTCAGCTGAGGCTTCTATTTCCATTGTTTTATTTTCTTTATTGAAACTAAGGTAGGATTTTACTGGCTTTTAAAACAGCTGCTGAGGAGAAAGTGTACCTATCGTTTTGTGCTGACTTGGGTCCATGCAAAAGATAGACTGTCCTACAGACTGTTGTATCAATAGTTTTATAAAGTGGATCTGTTTAATTTTGTTTATCTTCCCTGAGTCCTGGGGGTGGGGAGAAGGGGCTTTAATGGCAGGAATTCTAATTGTCCTGCTGATAGGATGGGATTTACAGTAGATGTCCGTGGCTAAACTCGCAGCTGAATACATGCTAAAAAAGGATGTTGTTGTAAATGCCAAAGCATTTGCTCCAGATTTTTGAGGAGTAAATGGTAGCTTTGTCTCTCTTCTTGTTGAATCCTATTTACTCACTGACTTTGGCACTCTGCATTTATTTGCTCCCAGCCTGATTGGGGCTGTTTTATAGTGAGAATGCTGCTAAGATTGTGAAGAGGTTTTTGTAAGGGGAATTTTTCTTAAAAAAAAATTGATTTTTATACTTTTATCTAAGCAAAGTGAAGGTGTGGTGCAACACTGTGTCTTATGGCAGAGACGTTATAAAAAAAGTATAGTCTTATTGTTGAGAATGGCATCATACCTGGCCCAGTAAATCAAGATCTTGATAGACTCCCAATCTGTTGTGAAATAGTCAGCAGAATTATAGATGCTAAGAGTAGACTAAGAATTACTTTTAGTGTCTTGCAACCTTTTTTCTGTCATAAAGCACTGGACTGAAACTGAGCAGGGGATGCTCGAGTGCTGCATTTGTAGTGGCAAGGCTTAGTGGACAAAGGGAAAGCTGAAGACAGTACATATGTCCCTAGTTAAAGTGTTGGTTGTGATCCACTAATGAACATCAGGGAGTTGAATGATAAAAAGTTTAATTGGTTCCTGAATCAGAATAACTGCTTTGCAGATGATCCAATTAGATTGTCTTCATAGAAAAGACAAAGTTGTCATCAAATGTGGCACTTGAGCTAAGCTTTTCCTAACTGCCTAGGTTTTAAGGTGCTCTCCATTCTTTCTTGTTTTCCCCTTGCCTTTTAGATGTTAAATTTATGATCATTGGCTCACAAGTCACTACTCTACAGGAAACTCTGGGACTGATCTATACAATTCTGTGGAAAAGGAGATTAGGAATGTTTCTTTGCTGTAAACCATATTGGTACAGTCACTTTCTATTGTATTTGTTTATTTCTCTGCATTGCAAAACACTTTTAGATTTTACTGTCCAAATGGTTAAATATTTTCCTTGTTAAAATACTACTGCATTTTAATTAAAATTGCATATAGATAAAATGCAGTAAGTGGGAATTGTTTTACTGTAGGCTAGGGTTAACAGGGTTTACAGCTGGTGCTTTCATTGCAGGTGACTTCAGAGAATTGGGGAGGGGTGAGAAAGGTGGTAAGAGGGATATGGAAAATAATTTTTTTTTCTGAGAAAAGATTGAAATAATTGAGCTGTTTAATCTAGTGATCTGCTGAGACATGGCAGTAGTAATCTTTGAGAGTAAGCAGCTGCCATAAAGATGTATGAAGAAAGCAAACTCCTCTTTGTAGCCTTTGGGGATTGCACAGAAAGGAAGGATGTTTAAACTTGTAGCAGGGGAAACTTAGGCTGAGTATGGGGAAATAGAACCTAATTGCAAGGACTTTCCAGAGCTGTGATAGATTGCCTGAGGCATACATAGAATCT